TGGACTCAGTGGCCAACCCTGACGTCTGCAACCAGCGGAAATAGTTTGACAACATAACTGCGGTGAAATGTTTTCCTCTAGAAAAAGCTCATGGCGTTAATAATCTGAATCACAGTTTCAATTCCATGCGAAGGATGGACCTTGTGGAAAAGAGGAAACTACACTAGGGAGTGTGTGCAATCGTTGTAGGGGCTGTCCTGTCTTCGTTTGGTTCAGAGTTATTTGCAGTGTCTTTGGCTAGTCTTTTATGATAGTTTAAACAACACTAACAAGAAAAGAGAAAAAAAAAAAAATCACCTAAAGCTCGCGAGCAGACAGAAGAAAAAAATAGTTGGCGAGAAGAGCAAAAGGAGATGTCTACAACACGGGCTATTCCCAGGTGGTCCCCCCCAAGGTACTAGACCCGCCCGACAGGACTTTACTTCGGTGTTCGGATGGGAACCGGTTTTTCCCCTGTGGTGTGGTCGTAGACGACGAGAGCAAGACGACGAAAGGTAAGATCAAATAGTTGAGTTCCGTCTTCTTGCTTCTGTATTGGACTCAGTGGCCAACCCTGACGTCTGCAACCAGCGGAAATAGTTTGACAACATAACTGCGGTGAAATGTTTTCCTCTAGAAAAAGCTCATGGCGTTAATAATCTGAATCACAGTTTCAATTCCATGCGAAGGATGGACCTTGTGGAAAAGAGGAAACTACACTAGGGAGTGTGTGCAATCGTTGTAGGGGCTGTCCTGTCTTCGTTTGGTTCAGAGTTATTTGCAGTGTCTTTGGCTAGTCTTTTATGATAGTTTAAACAACACTAACAAGAAAAGAGAAAAAAAAAAATCACCTAAAGCTCGCGAGCAGACAGAAGAAAAATAGTTGGCGAGAAGAGCAAAAGGAGATGTCTACAACACGGGCTATTCCCAGGTGGTCCCCCGCCAAGGTACTAGACCCGCCCGACAGGACTTTACTTCGGTGTTCGGATGGGAACCGGTTTTTCCCCTGTGGTGTGGTCGTAGACGACGAGAGCAAGACGACGAAAGGTAAGATCAAATAGTTGAGTTCCGTCTTCTTGCTTCTGTATTGGACTCAGTGGCCAACCCTGACGTCTGCAACCAGCGGAAATAGTTTGACAACATAACTGCGGTGAAATGTTTTCCTCTAGAAAAAGCTCATGGCGTTAATAATCTGAATCACAGTTTCAATTCCATGCGAAGGATGGACCTTGTGGAAAAGAGGAAACTACACTAGGGAGTGTGTGCAATCGTTGTAGGGGCTGTCCTGTCTTCGTTTGGTTCAGAGTTATTTGCAGTGTCTTTGGCTAGTCTTTTATGATAGTTTAAACAACACTAACAAGAAAAGAGAAAAAAAAAAATCACCTAAAGCTCGCGAGCAGACAGAAGAAAAATAGTTGGCGAGAAGAGCAAAAGGAGATGTCTACAACACGGGCTATTCCCAGGTGGTCCCCCGCCAAGGTACTAGACCCGCCCGACAGGACTTTACTTCGGTGTTCGGATGGGAACCGGTTTTTCCCCTGTGGTGTGGTCGTAGACGACGAGAGCAAGACGACGAAAGGTAAGATCAAATAGTTGAGTTCCGTCTTCTTGCTTCTGTATTGGACTCAGTGGCCAACCCTGACGTCTGCAACCAGCGGAAATAGTTTGACAACATAACTGCGGTGAAATGTTTTCCTCTAGAAAAAGCTCATGGCGTTAATAATCTGAATCACAGTTTCAATTCCATGCGAAGGATGGACCTTGTGGAAAAGAGGAAACTACACTAGGGAGTGTGTGCAATCGTTGTAGGGGCTGTCCTGTCTTCGTTTGGTTCAGAGTTATTTGCAGTGTCTTTGGCTAGTCTTTTATGATAGTTTAAACAACACTAACAAGAAAAGAGAAAAAAAAAATCACCTAAAGCTCGCGAGCAGACAGAAGAAAAATAGTTGGCGAGAAGAGCAAAAGGAGATGTCTACAACACGGGCTATTCCCAGGTGGTCCCCCGCCAAGGTACTAGACCCGCCCGACAGGACTTTACTTCGGTGTTCGGATGGGAACCGGTTTTTCCCCTGTGGTGTGGTCGTAGACGACGAGAGCAAGACGACGAAAGGTAAGATCAAATAGTTGAGTTCCGTCTTCTTGCTTCTGTATTGGACTCAGTGGCCAACCCTGACGTCTGCAACCAGCGGAAATAGTTTGACAACATAACTGCGGTGAAATGTTTTCCTCTAGAAAAAGCTCATGGCGTTAATAATCTGAATCACAGTTTCAATTCCATGCGAAGGATGGACCTTGTGGAAAAGAGGAAACTACACTAGGGAGTGTGTGCAATCTTTGTAGGGGCTGTCCTGTCTTCGTTTGGTTCAGAGTTATTTGCAGTGTCTTTGCCTAGTCTTTTATGATAGTTTAAACAACACTAACAAGAAAAGAGAAAAAAAAATCACGTAAAGCTCGCGAGCAGACAGAAGAAAAATAGTTGGCGAGAAGAGCAAAAGGAGATGTCTACAACACGGGCTATTCCCAGGTGGTCCCCCGCCAAGGTACTAGACCCGCCCGACAGGACTTTACTTCGGTGTTCGGATGGGAACCGGTTTTTCCCCTGTGGTGTGGTCGTAGACGACGAGAGCAAGACGCCGAAAGGTAAGATCAAATAGTTGAGTTCCGTCTTCTTGCTTCTGTATTGGACTCAGTAGCCAACCCTGACGTCTGCAACCAGCGGAAATAGTTTGACAACATAACTGCGGTGAAATGTTTTCCTCTATAAAAAGCTCATGGCGTTAATAATCTGAATCACAGTTTCAATTCCATGCGAAGGATGGACCTTGTGGAAAAGAGGAAACTACACTAGGGAGTGTGTGCAATCTTTGTAGGGGCTGTCCTGTCTTCGTTTGGTTCAGAGTTATTTGCAGTGTCTTTGCCTAGTCTTTTATGATAGTTTAAACAACACTAACAAGAAAAGAGAAAAAAAAATCACGTAAAGCTCGCGAGCAGACAGAAGAAAAATAGTTGGCGAGAAGAGCAAAAGGAGATGTCTACAACACGGGCTATTCCCAGGTGGTCCCCCGCCAAGGTACTAGACCCGCCCGACAGGACTTTACTTCGTGTTTCGGATGGGAACCGGTTGATTTGCATTTATTAGGTGAAGCCACTGCTTGGGGATCGCGGCCAGAAGGTCCCGATACTCCCGTATTGCTCTCGATAAGGCGTGAGGCTTACTATCAGTTAATATCTCGTGAAGGGCCTCAGGAGGTAAGAACCCGGGGACCGCTTCGTAACAGATGTCCTTAACCCTCAATGCGTTATAAAAGGGTTTTCCTGAGAAGTAATCAAACCATTGAGGAATAATGGCTCATTAAGGACATCTTTGATCAATTCAGGGATTTGGGTACGGGTTCATTCCTTGTTTATCATGCCGTTAGTAGTTCTCGATGAAACGAAGCGCTGGGGTGAAAAAACAAGCGTCAAGCTTCGTAACGAAGGAAATTTCCGTAAAATATTTCCAATGGGCGTCCCCCACAGATAGGAGCCTCTTGAGGATGTTTAATCTAAATGCATAAATCCTGGTCTGCAATAAGGGAATGTTAAAGCCGCCTTCTCCAAGTGGAAGCGCTAAGATTTCTCTATTCACCAATGGGTGTTTGTTACTCCAGAAAAAAGCGTAAATCGACCGCTCGATTTGTGAAACGGCCCAAGGAGGCATAGACAACGAGGTGACATTGTACCACAAAGTGGATGTTAGTAGCGTGTTGATCAGGAGCGCCTTGCCTTTTAAGCTTAAATCTCTGTGGCGCCAGGCAGCGATGATATCGTTAATCTTCTGAATTTTAGCTTCCCAGTTCCTCTGGGTACAATCCACATTTCCAAAATACTGGCCAAGGATCTTATCGGGAATAAAGTCATTGTACCATTCAAATCCGAATAACTGATCAGTGCGCCGTGCGAAGGCGCCACACCATAAACCCTTGCACTTTCCTTTGTTGATCTTGGCACCGGAAGCGCGTTCATATAGGTCAAACGTGTTAAAAGTCTCAATGATGGATTGTTCGTCAGTCAACAACAAAGTCGTATCGTCAGCAAACTGAGAGAGCTTTACTTCTGCTTCCGAATCCGGCGGTCGAAGGCCATGGATCCTTGGATTTTGTCGAATATTACAGGCCATTGTTTCCGCTGTTAATACATAGAGGGGCATAGATAGTGGGCAACCCTGTCGGAGGCCCCGCTCCAATCCAATAAAGGATGTAAGCCAACCATTTGTTTTTACTGAGCTTGATACAGAATTGTAAATAACCTGAATCCATCGTACAAAGTCCGGGCCAAATCCAAAGCGCTGCAATGTTTTAAAAAGAAAATCATGCGAGACGCGATCAAAAGCCTTCAATTGATCCACGCTTATGAGTGCGAGTGGAATGTTATTCACATTTGCATAAGTAATCACATCATGCAATAGCCTCGTGTTGTCATTAATAGTCCTTCCTTTAATCGATGCAGTTTGGTCAGTATGAACTATAAGAGGTAGAACTTGTTGGAGCCTATTAGCGAGCGCTTTCGTTAAGATTTTGTAGTCAGTCGTAAGAAGCGTAATCGGTCTCCAGTTTTTGAGCAAAGTCCGATCCCCTTTCTTGAACAGTAGGGAAATAACTCCTCGGCGTTGCGAGACGGAGAGCTGTCCAGATTTAAATGCATAATTGTAGACTTGTGTTAATCTAGGGCCAAAAATGTTTATAAAAATTGGTTGTTAGTCCGTCTATTCCAGGCGATTTATCAAGTTCCATTGCGGTGACTGCTTTACGCAATTCCTCCTCCGTCAGTTCTCCCTCACACGAATTACGCGCGTCCTCTGGCAAATTCGGAATCGTAGCATTAAGGAAGGTCTCCTGTGCATTTTCATCACATGTCTCCGCTGAATAAAGTTTTTTATAGAAAGCACGAGTCTCAGAAAGTAGATCTCTTGTCTCGGTGACGGTATCTAGATTATCTTTAGTCAGTACGCGAATTGTCTGATTCGCCTTACGACTCTTCTCCAAAGAAAAAAAGTAACGCGTACTTTTTTCTCCTTCCTCCATAAATTGAGCTTTTGCACGTATTTTGGTAGCCTCCAGGTCTTTCAAATCTAACTGCTTAAGCTTTTCTTTCGTAAGGAGGTACTGTTCTATATCCTGTGTCGTGCCATTCTTCGCTCGCTCTTGCAAATGTACTAATTTATTCTCTAACTGAAAACGTTCGTGGCGAAGCAATTTACCCCTAATCTTGGCTTGCCTGATGGCTATAATCTTAAAGTTTTGTTTGGCTTTATCCCACCATTTTAGAGGATCGGAAAAGTTTTTAAATTCTTCCTGCCAACCGGTCCAAAACCGCTCAATCTCCGTCTGGAATACAACGTCGGTAAGCAAATCATTATTAAAATGCCAGTAGCCAGGTCCACGGTGAATCTTATCAAAATCAATTGACAGCGTTATACAATCATGATCGGAATGTGCGTAAGGTTTAATATCTACGGCGGTAATAAACTGGTTCAAGGCGCGGCTAGTAAGGAAAAAATCAATTCTTGTCCGAATGAATAAATGGTTAGAAGTCATACGGCCAGTCCACGTATAATTCCGCTCACCCTTGTGTCGCTCCCTCCAAATATCACATAGATCGTAACGCTCATTAAACGTACGCAGAAAATAAGTTGCGGCTTGTCGAGAATTTGGATCTCCACCAAGTTTATCCAGCCTGTTGTCCATAATAGAGTTGAAATCACCGCCAATTATGTTTTCGTATTCCTTTGAAATAAAGGGCTCTAAAGTCAAGAAAAAGGTCCGCCGTTCAGTGTCGGTGTTGGGAGCGTAAACATTCACTAAGTTTATCGTTTGCTCATCCATTTCAATTACAAGATTCAAAACACGACCTTCATTGTCTCTTTTTGTCTCTTTAACTTTGTAATCTAGGCGCGAGCTAATTAAAATCGCAACGCCCCTCGCAGAATTTGTCCCGTGGGTGCAGGAAACGTGACCTTGCCAGTCGCGCTGTAGATCAATTTCCATATCAGCCGACCAGTGAGTTTCTTGCAAAAATATAATATCAAATCTGCTGCGGGTGAAAAAAAGAAAACGCTGTTTGTCGTCGATCCGCAGATCTAAGCCATTGGCAGTTTATACTTGCAACAATTGTCATTAGGGTCGTAATATATAATAAGGATATAATCAACCAAGCCATCATGAGTCTTGATAAAAATATATTCATGTTGTTGTTTTGCCAGTCGTTGATTTATCTCGCTGCTTTCCACTATTTTTCACATTCGGGGCAGGATTCAACCGCTGTCGGCGAGGTGGTGCTTTGCTATCAGAATCTGAGGAATCCACTGCGAGTTGCCTCTTCCAAAATTCCCTGATCAGCAATATCATTACTAGACTCTCCACTGATATTATTCTCCCCACTTTCTTCATTCGAATTCACATTACCTGCATCATTGGTAGTCGTAGGGACAGGCACATTCTCCGCTGGTGTAGTATTTTCGGAATTAGTCGAAGTTTCATTTTGATCACCCATCTGTTGTTCAACCTCATCACGGTTGTTGCTTCGATCGCAATTATAGGACATGTGCCCTTTTTCCTTGCAAATTCGACAAATGATCTCAGTGCATCTTTTGCGAGTATGCCCGAGCTCCTTGCATTCGCTGCAGACAGGTTGTTGATCGTTGTGAATAACACGACACCACTCACCGCCGATTCGTAGTGAATATGGAATAGATCTCTTCTCTAACACCATCTTTACTAAACGATTGCCATTCTCCAATCCGGCAAAAGCATGGTCAACTTTATATTTTAAACGGATAACATCTGCCTTTACCTCGGCATACTGGTTGAGGACCTTTTAAACTTCATCATCCTCGATATAGGAACGCAGATTTAAAATGCTAACATTAGTGAGCTTGCCGTGTGGTGGATGACACGAAACGTGGGTGTCCTCAAAGTCAAATCCTTCGTCTACCAGCGCCTCTGCATCTCGTTGATTTGAAACCTCGATTAAATATTCTCCATTTCCCAAATCTTGGAAAACAGTCACATCTGATTCAATAGATCCATCAATAGCTTCTTTCAACTCCTTCGGGGTCATATTAAACGGCAACTTAAAGGTAACACTTCGAACCTTCCGGTCGGCCATCTTGGCCTTCCTGAAGTAAACCAAACTGCTCCTTCAAAGTAAACGTTCAGCACAGATTTCAATCCAAAATACACAAATAAATCTCGACTAGTGTCTTAGGAACTGACTGGAAATAAATTCCACACAGTGTCGTCAACAATAACCACAAAAACAGAACTAATTCTCCGAGCACGTGGGAACCGGTTTTTCCCCTGTGGTGTGGTCGTAGACGACGAGAGCAAGACGCCGAAAGGTAAGATCAAATAGTTGAGTTCCGTCTTCTTGCTTCTGTATTGGACTCAGTAGCCAACCCTGACGTCTGCAACCAGCGGAAATAGTTTGACAACATAACTGCGGTGAAATGTTTTCCTCTATAAAAAGCTCATGGCGTTAATAATCTGAATCACAGTTTCATTCCATGCGAAGGATGGACCTTGTGGAAAGGAGGAAACTACACTAGGGAGTGTGTGCAATCTTTGTAGGGGCTATCCTGTCTTCGTTTGGTTCAGAGTTATTTGCAGTGTCTTTGGCTAGTCTTGTATGATAGTTTAAACAACACTAACAAGAAAAGAGAAAAAAAAAATCACCTAAAGCTCGCGAGCAGACAGAAGAAAAATAGTTGGCGAGAAGAGGAAAAGGAGATGTCTACTACACGGGCTATTCCCAGGTGGTCAGCCGCCAAGGTACTAGACCCGCCCGACAGGACTTTACTTCGGTGTTCGGATGGGAACCGGTTTTTCCCCTGTGGTGTGGTCGTAGACGACGAGAGCAAGACGCCGAAAGGTAAGATCAAATAGTTGAGTTCCGTCTTCTTGCTTCTGTATTGGACTCAGTAGCCAACCCTGACGTCTGCAACCAGCGGAAATAGTTTGACAACATAACTGCGGTGAAATGTTTTCCTCTATAAAAAGCTCATGGCGTTAATAATCTGAATCACAGTTTCAATTCCATGCGAAGGATGGACCTTGTGGAAAAGAGGAAACTACACTACGGAGTGTGTGCAATCTTTGTAGGGGCTATCCTGTCTTCGTTTGGTTCAGAGTTATTTGCAGTGTCTTTGGCTAGTCTTGTATGATAGTTTAAACAACACTAACAAGAAAAGAGAAAAAAAAAATCACCTAAAGCTCGCGAGCAGACAGAAGAAAAATAGTTGGCGAGAAGAGCAAAAGGAGATGTCTACAACACGGGCTATTCCCAGGTGGTCAGCCGCCAAGGTACTAGACCCGCCCGATAGGACTTTACTTCGGTGTTCGGATGGGAACCGGTTTTTCCCATGTGGTGTGGTCGTAGACGACGAGAGCAAGACGCCGAAAGGTAAGATCAAATAGTTGAGTTCCGTCTTCTTGCTTCTGTATTGGACTTAGTAGCCAACCCTGACGTCTGCAACCAGCGGAAATAGTTTGAAAACATAACTGCGGTGAAATGTTTTCCTCTATAAAAAGCTCATGGCGTTAATAATCTGAATCACAGTTTCAATTCCATTTGAAGGATGGACCTTGTAGAAAAGAGGAAACTAGACTAGGGAGTGTGTGCAATCAAGCCGCCAAGGTACTAGACCCGCCCGATAGGACTTTACTTCGGTGTTCGGATGGGAACCGGTTTTTCCCATGTGGTGTGGTCGTAGACGACGAGAGCAAGACGCCGAAAGGTAAGATCAAATAGTTGAGTTCCGTCTTCTTGCTTCTGTATTGGACTCAGCGGCCAACCCTGACGTCTGCAACCAGCGGAAATAGGTTGACAACATAGGGGCTGTCCTGTCTTCGTTTGGTTCAGAGTTATTTGCAGTGTCTTTGGCTAGTCTTTTAGCATAGTTTAAAGAACATTAACAAGAAAAGAGAAAAAAAAACATCGCGTAAAGCTCGCGAGCGGACAGAAGGAAAATAGTTAACGAGAAGAGCAAAAGGAGATGTTTACAACACGGGCTATTCTCAGGTGGTCCCATGCCAAGGTACTAGACCCGCCCGACAGGACTTTACTTCGGTGTTGGAATACGTACTGGTTTTTTCCCTGTGGTGGGGTGGTAGACGATGAGAGCAAGAGGCCGAACGGTAAGATCGAATAGTTGAGTTTCCTGACGTCTGCAACAAGCGCAAGTAGTTTGACAACATAACTGAGGTGAAATGTTTTCTTCTATAAAAGTGTCATCGTGTTGCTAATCTAAATCACAGTTTCAATACTATGCTAAGGATGGACCTTGTGGAAAATAGGAAACCAGACTAGGGAGTTTGGCAATCTTTGTAGGGGTTGTTCTGTCTTCGTTTGATTCAGAGTCATTTGCAGTGTCTTTGGCTAGTCTTTACAGATAGTTTAAAAAAAGCTATCAATTAAGGAGGAAAAAACCACGTAGTTTTTGCGAGCAGACAGAATGAAAATGGTAGGCGAGAAGAGCAGAAAGCAGGTGTCTTTAACTCGGGCTATTTTTAGGTGGTCTCTCGCCAAGGTACTTATAAGAAATAGCCAGTAAGTTGTTTACATAATGATAATACCAATTACAATACCGTATTATATAGATTATATACTAAAACCGTTGATATTATTTTTCGCGCGCTCTGATTGGCTACTAAATCAATGAATATCCAATGCTATTTACTGATTCACCTGCAGTTACTCCGAGTTTGCGACGCGAAATAGGATAAGTTTCGAGCAGAATGGCTTCGGGTTTGCTGCTGTAACAAACAATAAAACTTTAGAAATAATCATGCAAGTTGTTCCCGAAGTACACGATGAAATTAGTGAAAATATTTTTTGTTTACAAATGCAAGTTAATCTCAAGTCTGGCTTTTTTTTATTTATTTTACTTGCTTATAAATAAGCTTAAAACTAAATTTAATAATATCTTTTACAGAATTATTTTAAATACAAAAAGAAACGACAACTCCTTTTGAAGAAATTTCCCTGCAAGAGCTAAACAAATGCTTTCAAACCTTTTATTTGTCGGCAAGAAAAGGCGACGGTCGCGGCCGTTGGGTCATTGGGCGCCAAAATTGTAATCGTTGGCAACAGTAAATCATAATTTTTGTGCTCGATTATCTCTCTGTCTTAAGGGTATATACTAAAACAATTATTTACCTCAGTGTCAGTGGCTAGTGGTTGCTATTGACCTGGTCTCTTCGCTCGTTGGTAAATATTATGCACCACTAGCCACCTCCACTTCGAATAATTGTTATATATTCAATAATTTCTGCGTAGATTTGAACATGATTATGCATAAAATTTGATACTATATCACATGACCTTCATTGTAACTGAAATATGAGCCCGCATTTCCAGGCAGGGTGGTTTGTAACAAAATCTTCTCAGCCCTATTAACGGGAGGAGAACTCGAGACCATAGGAGCCAGAATCCAACGAACTTGAAACGTTATCCAGGCTATCTATTGAAAGGAATCATGGTGGCTTAGGTCCGCGTTTTATAAAAGAATTGAGGCTATTAATCACCTGATTAATTCATTTCTGGATTTCTGGATTCAGGTAAGAAACTTAAACTTTGAAGATATTTTCACTGGGGCAAGATTTCGTACTGTTCTAACAACACCGTACATCTAATTGTCAGTGTAGCAATTTCATTCTTTACGAAGTTATTATATGAAGAGTCAAAACATCATGAAACGTTTATGCATAGTCATAAATAAGGGTTTAATACGCTTGGTTTGCATTCACGTGAAAAGGCGACCAGGCTGGATGACAATAGAGTTGAGTTCCCAGAGGAGAGGGCTTTTGTGTTTGTCATCCAACATGGCTGCCGTGATGTCAGATGCAAAAGAGCAGTGCCCGTATAAAACCAGCAGATCTCCAACAGATCTGTCTTATGAAAAACAGACTAACTGCAGACTAGTTTAGCGTCTGCAGACTATTTTATTGTCTGCAAAGTCTGCTTTTAGTCTAACAGACACCCGGGAGCA